CCTCTTCAAAATGGGAAAGATAAGAGAAAGTGACACTCAAGGAAGGCTGTGTGTGTAAATTCTTGTGAATCAGCAGACAAAAAAAAACAACAACTTGAATAGTGAAATTCAAGGGCGGATGAGGGCGCACGTTTATTTTACCTCCATGTTTGGAGCAGGATGGTGAGAAAAATGATTTAAAAGAAAAACTGTAAAGCTCCTGAAATAAGACTGCAGCGTGATATTTTGCTCCTCCAGCTTTTACACATCGATCGTGTTGCGAAACAGTTTCCTGTTGTCATCTGCATAAATTAACTTTAATAGTTACAGGAGAGATGCCTCCTACGCAACTAAATGAACGATTTTCAGAGTGAAAATTCATTAACATATTTTTGACGCAGTAATAATAACATCATGAGGAAACTGGAAGTACTGGAAGTGAAAACCTGTATTAAAAAAAGCTTCTCTACGACATCATATTTGATGGGATGAGGAAACTAAATAAAAACAACAACCAGAGGATCTGTTTGTGTGAAGGTGACAAAAAGGAACGACTCGTTTACAGTGAAACATGGCGGAGGTCCGATTGTGTTTGACTGCTGATTGGCTTTGATGCTTCCGTTACTGGAGGAAATAAGGGATTAAACGGATAATACAAAAGCAACTATTTTTTGTAAACTCGGGTTCATAGTTAAATCGTTCCGCAGACCGCCGGCGGTGAAAGAAGCAGACAAAAGAGCATGGAAATGTGATTAAAGAGGAAGAGATGGAACGTTTTAAACCTGGCCAGCAATGATTCCCACTATAAATCCCAGTAGGGGCTTTGGAGGCAAACTGAGATCTAACATTACAAGAAGACTTGAGTTTTTTTTTTTTTTTCCTAAAGAACCTGAACACGTCACAGAAATGCGAGACAGAAAAGTGTGACAAGCATTTTGATGTCTGGAGGAATTGTTTATTAATGCCAAATTATAAGTAAATGAGTCAACAGTTTGAGTTACAGTGTCTGTTTCACTATAAACGTTTTAGACGTTAACGATCAGAACTGTACGAGTTATGTCATTTTAATTACATTTCAAGAGCACGTATGCTTGAGCCATATTTCCCCTATTGAATAAAATAATCTGGATTCAAGCCGGCAAAAAAATCACAATGTCTACAAGTAAGAAGCGAATATTTCATGTAAGAAATTCACACCAAACCAAAACAGAAGAAAGTTTTAAATGAAATCGAGGCGATCCAGAGATGCCAGATCTGTGAGGACGTTTAATGTGCTTTGCAGAGACATTTTTACAGAGAGAGTTCAGTGTCATCGCTGATGTGAGTGGAAACAGAAAGCTGCGATTTTTCCCAAACATACAGAAACCTGGAGTAATAACGTAATCCGTCTCGTTTAAACAGGACATGCTGAGATTCTCTAGAGACGAGGGGTTTTGGAGCAAAACCGTGCGGGACATATTTATGGCACTACACGTGCAATTTAGTATTAAAATCCCTTCGATTTATTCAGCAAAACTTGAACCGTGGATAGATTAGCTTTTAATCAGCAGATAAGGAAAGTTCTGCTTCCTTGTTCTTTGAATGAAACACTGATAAGGTTTGATTTAGTATTTCCCCTTCAACATATTAGAACAACCAGTAATCCCTTTCTGACAGGGGAGGTTTGAAAAATGATCAATCAACTGACAAGCAATTTAAGATAATAAAGTGAACGTCACTTTATTATTCATTAAGGCTTTCTTTGTCACGGTTGCAGGTGTTTTAAAGTAGATATGGGCATGTTTATGCTTCTTACATGAACAAAGAAGCATATTTCTGCAGCAATTTCCAGATTTATGAAGACCCTAAAATAATTTTGCCTCAACAAAAATGACCTATAACCAAAAGAAATTGGTCTTAACACACCGGGAAAGTTTCCAGACTATCAGAGCAACTTTGAAACAGCAGAAATAATCAGTAATAAAATGTTTCTGTTGCATTTCATTCGGGTTGCTGGCGGTACGAGGGTTTTAAAAACAAAAAATGATGGATTCTTTAGTTTTCTTTAGTTTATTCAAACTAAACATTTGAGAACAAATATGTTTAATGGAATCCATCGCCAAGATAAATTCATTTTAAGAGTCTTTACACATCATTAGGGGTTGCTGTTACATTGTATCTGTTTCACTTCAACAAGATCTCACTGAAGGTTTTCGTAACACACCCAGCAGAAAAATTAATAAACCTGCAACGATTTTCTTTTTCTTTTTTTTTTGTAAAACTTTGATTAAAATAATCATTTGTAGACACTCCCTCTCTGCTGCGCATCGTCACCAAGATGCAGGGGATGGAAAAAAAAAATGTCCTGCAGCATAAATTTGCCTCCATGATGTCCTTGAAGCTGATTTATAAGACGCTGCTTGGATGAGACTCAGAACCTTCCTCTCTATCTCTTTGTGTAAACACACGTGTTAGCAGAGAAACTGGAGAAGTAAATGTCCATCTGCATGTCGAATGGTAATAATCACAGACGATAATCACAGACAAATGGTTTGTAATTTATGGGTTTTTTTGTTTTTCTTCCGTAGTGCTAAGCTGAAGAACAACAGGGAGGTTTGCATCAACCCTGAGACCAAGTGGTTGCAAGGATACCTGAAGAACGCCATCAACAAGTAAGAACAAAAATAAAAAATAAAAACCTTTGCCGTTGACGAATGATCCCTCACAAAACAAGAAATATGCGGCTCTGCTCACACGGGTTTAGATGAAAGAAATAAACTTTTCACATTCCCGCTTACAATTACTGTCTGAAACTGTTTATGAGCAGCAGACGGGCTATAGGAGAAATAATTTGCACTAATTTATGAACAGACTTAAATCTTCCGCTGCGATTCGTGCGCCTTTGTTTCTGCAAACCTGCTAAACATTTAATCCAAACTTCACATATGTTTGAGAGCAGATGTTCAGTATTTACCTTCGTCCTGCACATTTCCACATTTACGTCTTTGCTAACTGCATGTTATCAGAGGCGTATGAAATGCATCTTTGAAATGTCGGGAAAAAAAAGACAAATCTTGATTTTTTTTGGTCAAATCACAAAAACCAAACCCTAAGCTTTTCATACCTCTGCTTATCTCCCCAGGGTGAAAAAGTCCAAGAGACGCAACACCAAGAAAGTCTAAGCTGCAGAGAAAGGGGCATGGAGCGCACCGCCTCCGAGTCTGAACCCCCCCAGGTCAAACCTCCGTACCTCCCTGACACTGCTTTGGATGTATGCAAACACGCTGTACCCTACCTACCTGTCCACCTCTGTGGACCGCTTGCAGAAGCAGCACTTCACCTCCAAACCTGCACTGACCGCACCGCTGTCTCTCCCCCTGGCCCCCCAACCCAACTGGGTGAGGAGTCGTCTTCTAAAATCCACACAAGCTCCACATGCAGTGATGAAACTTTGAAACAGCAGGATGCAAACAGAAAGTGTGTTTTTTTTTTGTTGTTTTTTTTGTTTTTTTTTGGTCTCTGAACGAGGATGAATTGAACTAACTTTGCTTCTGTGATTATAAATAGTCAGGGTTTTTATTTTTGTTACACCTCTGTAAAGAGAAACCTCAAGCTTTCCAACTCACAAAAGCTTTGTGACTTCATAACCTCTTGAACACTAATAACGTCTCCAAGAGGACGCTCACGCACCGACGCATCAGTTGCGCTTTGGTGAAATGAAGAAGTGCTTAATTTGCGAACGCCAAAGGGAACTCATGCGAGGCAAACGTGTCTCCCTTTCTACTAAAATTCACCACGTTCTCAACAAAGATTCCCAGGTTTCCATCTCCTCCCACACTTCTTCTTCTTCTGTCACGAAAATCACCTGCATGTTCTCCATCACCATGTACTATAAATTTCCCCTCTGGCCTCCATCTTCTCCTCCTCCTTCGACGACAGAATGCGGGTTTTCCAGACACGACCGCTGAATTCTAGCGGCCGCTGATGGTCAGAGGCGAGCCGGGCGTCCATGTTTGATGGAGCCTCGCTTCGTTTAGAGGAATCCTCCACTGTGCTGACACCAGCCTCACGGTGCTGCTGTATGTTCACAAAGAGGAGCCAGAGCCATTTATACGACTGTGTATCACTTTTTTTTTTCTTCTTTTTTTATGTAAGAGGGAACATCTACTAACAACTGGGAGATAAGATAAAGTCTTAAGCATTTACTGACAACGGGACTTTTGCCAGACAAAGTTGAAGCCATGCAAGGGAAAGAACATATTTTTGTTAAAACAATTTAGCAACAGAAAACACGTCCACCTCAAAAATCATGGATTCTTCTATGATCTTATATATATATATATATATATATATATATATATATATATATATATATATATATATATATATATATATATATACACACACACACACACACAGAGAGAGAGAGAGAGTCCCATCCACATTTATTGGCACTTTTGCTGAAGATGTGCAAAAAGTCCTAAAAGGCATCAATTACATGTTGCTGTAACATAATCCCACTCTGAATAATTTGCAGCAATTGAATAAAAGGTTAATTGGTGGCAGGATAAACTAGATCCAACTGTTTTTATTGCTCTGACTGAACAATTAGGCAGATTTTAGTAAGTCGCTGTATTTTGCTGCCTGACGTTAATGGCACGAGTCTTTCCGACCTTGAAATGTGGCTGATCTGACCTCTTGTCAGGTCACGTTCGGTGAAACATCATGATGAAAATCTCTGACGTTTCAGGAAAAAACGGGAAAAAAAAAGTCGGATAAAAGTGATAAAAAGACTTCGGCCGCATTTGTGTTTGTGGGATGTTGTTGCTTCAGTACAATAAAAAGAAAATCTATTTTCTTTTAAGGCTTTTTGCACGTTTTGGAGTGCGTGGGCGCTCTACGATCACAAGTTTAGCGTTTTATACCAACACCATTCCTTTTTTTTAGGAATAAAAAGCTAATAAATTGTCAAAATTAGTCGGGTCATGAATGTCACATAGGGAATGTTAAGGTTGGCGAAAGGGAAGTTTTTGTTTATCCACTTTTTACATATATATATTTGAGCCACTTTATTATCAGATGTGTCCTTTAGTGTATTTTTATTCTTTTTATATGTAGAATCTTACTAATTGTTTTTTTTATCATAAGTAGGTAAGAGCTACTAAATGAAGGTGGATTTTTCAGTATTAAACTTCTTTACCACAAATAAAGAGCATGTAATCCTGTATGCAAAGAAATACAACACCATCACTGTTTGACTGCTTACGTTAAATGAATTTTATTTTTTGTTTTTGTCTCTCTTGGTGTTTCTTTACCAGTCAAAATGAGATGCTAACATGTCAGAGCTGCAACAGCTGACATATTTTTCTTTAAAGGAGGCTTTTGAAATTGCCTTTGAACGCAAAGCTTCTCCCGAGCTCGAGTCAAACCAACTGAACAATTTTATTATTTTTTTCTTTTTTATTGTTTTACTTCAGTCGATGTTTGAGCTGCCAATGAGCCGAGACAGAACCAAAGCTCAGCTTAGATCAGAGCGACCGGCATGTGCTTTCAATCTGCCAGCACCCAAAAGCCTTTCCTCAGTCTTACTCCAATCTCTTATTAATTCAGAACCAGGTGGTTGTGATCATTGTTTTTATGCTCTTGTGTTTCATTTTGTGCTGGTTTGTTTTGTTCTGTTGCTATCTGTGGTTTTTCTTAACAGTTTGGAGCAAATGGTGCAATAATCTTGTAATTAATCTCTCATAAATGGACTAGAACTGAACACCCAATAATCCTGTGTGGTTAAAGTAAATTATAAGAACACATTGCTCAGAAAACAAAGTGTTTCAATAAGGTTTTCTATTATTATTATTATTATTATTATTATTTGTTCATTACCAAACAACTCCAACCATTGAAACTGGTAAAGGAAAAATAACATTTCGTAACCTCTGACATTTTCTCATGTTCAGTCTAGATTATGCTGCGTTGCCGGCACTGAAACTATGAATTTACGGAAATCAAACACGGTGATAATGAGTTTCAGCAAAATGTCCCTGTAAGCAAATGTAATCAGATCGACAAAAATCCATTTTAAACTCTGTTTTTTCTCTTTCTTTCACCTTTAACATTTTTAACGTCTTTTAAGTTGACACTCAGCTCAACTCTTGCTCTCTACTGTTGTATTTTTAAATTAATCAAAATGAGTTTTACTTTGGAGCCCAAGACAATGTGAAAATGTTTTTCTCCTGGCAGCTTCTGACTTATTCCTATGTAATGGTTTAGAAGATTACTTCCTGTTTTCCACAGCTTGTAAGCCAAGAGGTTGTATTTTTTTATTTTTGTTGTTTTTATTTTTATATCTATGCCCATTTTTCAATAAAGCATAATAAGAAAAAAAAATAATAATAAGTGAACTACCTGTGTTTCATCCATCCCAGACGACTTCGGTTTGAATTTCTTGCTGATTTAATGGTTAGTTTTTGTGACTTAACTAGATTCACTTCTTTTTTGGCAATTTGTTGATGAAATCATGCAGCTTTTTAAAACCGTTCATAATTGTTAAATTAAATTTTCCTGCACGACAACCTGTAATATCGCTGTGTTTAATCGGCCTGTTGCGACGCCGATCCGGAAGAAAAAGACAAACAGGCTTTCTAGATATTTCTAAACAAAAATGCAAAAATAACAGCACATTTTTTTATTCGCCCCCTTTTAATTTGACACCCTTAAATGAAATCAAGTGTAACTACTTCCACCAGAAGTCAAGTAATTAACAGTAGCGGCTGTAATAGCTAGAAACCGCGGCGCCCTCAGAAATGTTCACGGTGTCCAGACCAGGCCTCTAAAATTGTCCTGGTGAAAAAAAACATTAACCGATTTTATTTATTTGTTTATTTATTGGGGTTACATGACTTGAATTTTATTTAACAAGTTATCAAAGGGAAGACTTCATATTTAGGATCTCTACAATTTGGTCTCTAACTTATTCTGGATATATTTTCAGAACGAGTGTAAACATAACAAAATGATTTGTCTCATGGCTCAACTACTTACAGCTTCCAGTTTGACTTTATTTGAGCCCGCAGCTAAAATGCTACACTTTTACCTTCGGTTTATGAAATAAAATAAATGTAAAAATACCTGTTGGGGTCTAAATACAGTTCACTTTTAAATTGTTTTTTAAGAAATAAAATGCACTTCCTGCCTTCACTGACTGTTTGGTCACATTTTCTTTTCTTTTTTTCTTTTTTTTTACTGTTTCCTAGCAACAAGGATTGGCTCAACTTACCCTTTGGCTCAACTTGCCCCAGTCTCCCCTGTTGTACGTAATGTGATGAGAGCTAACGTGCTAGCATTGATTCTTTGTCAATTCCAAAGTATATATATATTTTAAAAATGTGCCCTGAGAGCAGCTTGATGCGGTTCTGAACTGTTCTGGATTCCTTCTCTTACAATCAGGAGCTGCCACTTGGCATTACTCACTTTGATAATAACAAAAGTCAGGCAGCGGGACAAACTCAACGACAAAACCGTACAACAAAGGAAAAAAAAAAAAAAAACTCTTGAGGCCAAGCTTCCTGCAACACAAAAAAACAAGCCCTGATTTAAAAAAAAAAATAAAATAAAATTCAAAAGGTTTTGGCTTTTGAAGCCACTCAGCCTTCACCTCCTGAAGGCTGAGTGAATAATTCATGAGCTACTGTCACTTTACATTATCCACCACAGAAACGAAACTTGTTTAACAATCGCTTTTCCGTTAAAGAGTCAAGGAGTAAAAGGCTGAAATGTTAACACCGGAGGTTTCGGCTGTGTACGTTCATCCGCAGCACCAGGGAGCCCGAGTGGCTTTATGACGCTGTCACTTCCAATACCGCGGAACCAAACGGAGCGGATTCATTTCACGGCACCGCTCCCTCCTCTGACCTGCGTGCGGATGCGTACGAGGAACCAGAGACACGATTTGGACGTGGACCAAGTAAGTGCCTTACGGGGTCAGAGTTGCATGTTTTGGACCTTTGGGGTTCAGAAACAATTATAGGATTTCTGCGCCGTGCTTACTCAGCTGAGCCCTAGAGGTGGCCGGCGAGTGTACGAAGTGTTTATTAAAATGTAGTTTCAGGGATACATCACTCTAAGCTGAGGAATCTGAAGCGTTTTTATAACCTATAAAAAAAATAAAGAAAGAAAGTCAAACCAAACACAATAAGGCCTAGGGTAGGAAAATGAAATATGTTTCAATAAAGCTAAATTAAGTATTAGGGGCCAGTTGGGACATGTAAAATATTTCCAGAGGGCTTATTAGAGTCTGAATGAGATGTACGCTGTCCAACCAAAACAATAAAGGCAAAGGTTGATGAGGAGACATACCAACAGACGAAGCAGCAAAGGAAATGTCAAATGGTGCAGTGGAAAGCGGACCTCAGAGAAAACTGGAGAGGAATCTGCAACAGCGACACATTTATTATACGTCACAGCTGTACTCCAGGAAACCACTCTGGGTTGTTTTTTTTTGCGTCATTTCTTTGGTTTCACTTGTGTTTCCTTTTAAGAGGTTAATTTGGTCTCTCTCTCTCTCTCTCTCTCTCTCTCTCTCTCTCCTTCAGCCCTGTGTGATGCAGCTTTCATCCCACGTCCAGCTAATTTGCTTCAAACAAGCTAATGGGAACCATTTTGGTTCACGTTTTGAAGGATAAGTTGGGGTGGATCTGTGGACTGCACAAGACATGTTCATTAGATCATTTGCACAAAATCATTCTTATATAAGGAGATTTTCTTATCCTCTGTTCTGACTATGTTGAGCTCTTTTCTGAATGAGTCGTTTTAGGGCCTCTTGTCACTTTAAATCCAAATAAGCTGCTGCTAGCCGCAGCGCACCCAACTCATTTACACCTGCAAGTGAGAAAAGCGAAAAATATAAGAAAGCTGTATGGGACATGTGCTGTTTTTTTTTCTTCCCCTGACTGTGTTTGTGGTTTTATTCCAAGCAGAAAGCTGCCTGGATTCAGAGTTATTACAGTGTTACAGTAAGATAGATGTTCCCCGTGGGTTTTTATTCCTTCAGGTTACATTTCCCCCCCTCCTAAATATGATCGAATGGATCCCCCAAGTCTGTGATTTTCTGCGATGCAGACGGAAATAAAAAACAAAAAACAAAAGCAATATCATTCAAAGTTTTTCTCCAGCAGAAGTTTTCATTACTGCTCGTAATTTATTACATACCATGTAATAAATTACATCTAAACACAACAATCGTCTTATTGTATTCTGCGGGATGATGTACGGAGTTTAGTTTCGTGCCAGGAGATTTTCTACGCTTCGGCTGATGTTTCTTCCTCTTCTCTACAATATTTTATATTTTGTGGAAATGTGTGGGATTTCACATGGACCATCTGTGCTTTCTTCTTGATTTCTTTTCCCCCCTTCTGTCTGTTCTCTGGTTTCATTTCATCTTCTGCCTGCTCTCAACATGAACTTGTTAAGTTACAGCCGCAGGTTTTCGTTCGCCAGATCTTTTTTTGTTTGTTGTAATACTTATTATGGCTTCGTTTTCCAAATCAGGTGTACTCCTGTTTGTTTCCAGAGGAATGGCTATTTTATTTCTTGCCTTGATTCGTCTTTCAGAGGCTTTGGGTGTCATCCCACCTGACAGTCCGGTCCAATCGGGGACCAAATTTCAACATCACCGATAAACAACAAATGTTTTTAAAAAGTTAGAATTATGTCCTACTTGAAGTAGATGACCCATTTGTTATTTTTGCTATATTGTAAAACAAAAATATTTGATGTGAAAACATTTTCTGTTGCTAATAAAACGTTACTACAGAATTATTTATCATTTTTACTAAAGTAAAATATCCACCTTTGTTTTAGTTTCAAGCTTGAAACTGAAATGAATACGTTTTTAAGCATTAACCTTTCCAAACATCATTTTTACATGCTAATACAGAGTTTTATATTCAACTTTTGGCCGAGTTGCAAACATGTCGTTCAATAAACACATCCTGAAAATAAGAGAGGCAGAGGAAACGGCAGCCTTCGGCTAAACTCGCCTCAGACAGAGAACATAACCACGCAGGACAGCAAATTGCCCAGCTGATTTGATCCTTGAGGTTGTTTGTAATCCTGTGATTTAAGGCTCTCATCTTTGAACAACCTAATACCCGGCCTGCTTAATGGGAAACATGCTGGCTGCTGGTCCACATGGAGGTGTGTGGGTGTGTTGATGTGTGTCTGTCTTTTGTCTTAGTGGACAGCCAAGGGAAATGAAAGTATGTGTGTTTTTGATTCCTAACAGAACAAACCTGCGTAAACATAGCCGAGCAATTAACCGTCTACAAATACAGACAAATTCTACAGTGAAGGCATGCGAAGGTGCGCACATCCATCTTATTTTCCCATGTTATTAAGCTGAAGGTCACTGAGGAGGTCTGCAATCATATTTTGATTTTTTGCCCCATTCCTGAAACACTTTGATCATACCCTGTTTTCTTTTAAAAAAACAAAAAACTAACTTTATCTTCGCATATTTAAGGTGTGCCTTCTCTGTGTGGTTAGAAAGAACAAACTGCAGATAGATAAAAAAAAATCTCTGGAAATAAACAACTATATAAATAAATACTAGAGATGCATGATATATCAGTATCGATATTGGTCATTTTTTAACATGTCAGGATCGGTTTGGGATTGGTTCATCTTGACGTCGTTTCTGCTTGTGTTTCAGGAGGGAGAGAGACGAGGGTCGGCCATGACAGTGATAGTGATGCAGCAGAGAATTATGGGTGTTAAACTGAAGCAGGGAAACAATGTAGGCGGAGCGGTCGCTTTCAAACAGTGTCAGAAGTGTAGGGAAATATCACTAAATATTGATAAGTACTGCCACTGTATCAGAATTCATATCAGATATCAATATTTGCTCAATTTTTCAATCAGTGGATCACTAATGCTTACTCTTCAATAGCTTAGAAAAAAATCTAAAGTCAGCCTGTTGAAAAAAAAAGAAAACATTAATACCCTTCTCCGGTATTTAGCTTAGCATCTTCATTCTCCTCAGTCAGTTTAATAGATAAAACCTCATTTTGCTCAGACTTTATTTTTCTAGTGTTTGTGTCCAGGTGACCTGCAGGATCTTGAGCAGTTTGTCACATAAGGAAAGACAACATATTTGTCATGATCCGTAGTTTTCTGTTTATTTTTTGAGTTGTTTCTGTGTTTATTGTTATCCTGTTCCCTGTGAGTCTCTGTCTCTGCGTCTTCCCCATTGATTGTTCCCAGGAGTGTCTCGTTCTCTTGATTAACCTCCCTGTGTATTTAAACCCACCTGTTGTCTTTGTCTCTTGTCAGGTCCTTGTCTTATGTATGTCTAATGTATGTCAGTAGTCGTCCTAGCTCTCCAGTCGAACTGTGCAGTCCTGGTTAGCTTAGCTCCTAGTTCAGTCTTCGTGTCAGTTGCTACCGATAATTAGCCGTGTGCTTTGTTCTCTGCCGTGCTGCCAGATCTGGACTGTTTGAGCAACTTTATCATTAAACTCATCATTTTCATCTACATCCTGGGTCTATCTGCGTCTCTCCTCACCACCAACCAACACACAATATTTTTTTCTTTTTAAACTTTCTTGCATAATTAGTTCTATCGATGGAATCTGAACTAAATAAAATCATCTTGTAGTGACAAGAAATTCAGTCAAAAATATTTGCATTTCTTTGTAAAAATGATGTATAATTCTGTAGTAATTTTGGTAAGGGGCAACAGAAAAGGTTTTCATATAGAATATTGTTTTGCAGTCAAGTCCTGCAGTGTGAAGTGTTTTCATTCTGGTTCTTAAATCTGCATAAATGTTTATGAAATGCACATTTACCTAAAGAACCATATTATTTTTTTTTAACAGGCAATCAATTCCATTAATTGGATTATTAAATAGAAATTTTACCAAGGTTCTTAACTGATTTCTTCTCTTCATACGTAAAAACAATTGATACCCAAAACCTCTAATGGACTTTAGAAAACCACACAGAAACAGAGGCTCCATTTAACTGAAAGTGGCTTTGAATAGGGGAAAAGCATAAGAAGGATGAGGCAATTCACAATTTCTAATGTCACACAAACTCCACACAGCCCTCAATAATTCAGCATCAAATTGACAGAAATTAGCTCCTGCTCCCTTAGGAATGTTGTTAAATCGATCACAACAGAGGCTTTCAGTGTTTCCGCAACCTAACGTTAGAAAAAAAAAAAACGATAAATACATTGACAAACATGTTGATGGTAGTTTCCATTTGCAGACATCCTTTATGTCTGACTCCGGGGGACAAAGCAGAACAGCAGAAGAAAAGAGACCAGAAAGACGGATATCATCGCTTGTTTGCAAATACAAGCTGTGAAAAGAAAAAGTAAATGCTTTTTTTCATCCATGATCTATTTTGGAAGACATCCTGAACAAAAAATGTTTGCAAGGAGTAATTCCACTGTGATGCAGGACCGGGCAGCCTGTGTCTCTGTTGCCTGGTTATCACAGACGTCTGCAGGCATTCGGCAGACCAGCACCACCTACTCAGAGGAGAGCCCACTTCTCCGCCACTTCCTTCTGTGAGACAGGCGAGACATGCAAGAAGTTGATATTGAAACAAAATCGTTACAAACTGAGCATTTGAGATGTAATCTAAAAGATGATATAAACTGTGAGGTGGCAATGAAAACATATTTTTTATGTTTGGTTTAATATTTTACTACTCTCATCTTGCATAGGCACAAATCTGTGCTAAAGACTTGGTGCATTTACTCATATATTGCTTCTAAAGAGCCATACTTTCCAAAGGATTTTCATCAGTCATTATTTGGGTTTCAGAAGGTCTTTCAAATGCCTTTTTTTCAGGTTAGTTTGGTTTTATCTGCTGTTTGACTCAGTTTCAGTTCAGAAACTGGTCATTTTTAGGGGAAACGTTTAACTCCGACCGATGAATCCTTCATTCAGTACAGCTCTAGTTCATCTGTCGACAGCAGTTTTCCTTTTTCAGTGTTTATAGAAGCAGTTGATTGTTAATCACAGCTGCAGAAATGGATTAGGTCTTGCAGCAAAATTAGTTTATTGACTGATTCATTTGCCCACAGAAGCTGATTTATATATATATATATATATATCAGTCTGTAGCTTCCCCTGTCTCTTCAGTTCATGAAAATTATAGAAAACCCCTGGAAGATGTTTCAAGGAACAATAAACACATTATCCTTAGTGGGAATGTCTCGTTGCTCCAATTATTCCACTACAAACACTCACTCAAACTTTTTAAATATAAGTTGAATGTTGGTCTGTCAGGTTGAAAACAATTTGTGTAATTCGTTCGGCAGTAAATCCAGAGAAAGTTTTCTTTGAAGCCCAACGGCCGACAGAAAGCAGAGTTCGGACGAATCTGCCAGCGTGTCCCGAACCCACATCACAAGTCGCTACCGAGGTTCTGCTTTTCCTCATCTTCCTCTCTCTGTTTACCATTATTCTCCGTGTATCGTTAAATTTTCCATCCGCGGCGTTGTCTGTTGAATTTTCTCACACATCCAAAAGACTTTTAGGTCACAGAGAAAACAGCTTTTTCTTTTTTTTTTTTCTTGGTTTACCCCCCTCTTGTCCTTTAGGAAGTTCTTCATCATATGTTGCTGACGAGCAGCTAAAACGCTGTCCGCGCCAACAATTAATCGAATCCCCAACGACTGCTCTTCTTTTCTCTGAATTGCAATTTGAAAAGCCTGTCGACATTTCCATGGCGTTCAAAAGTAAATACTTAGTGCTCTATTTAGCTCTACTCTAAACAATCCTAAGACGTTTAGCAGTGAATAGATGTGGCTTGAAGCCAAGGTAAATGAAGGTTAATGTTTCCAACTGTGTCAGTCCCGATAAAACCAGCAATCTGAGCAGGTTAATGACAAGCCTGATTACTCACACGACCTCCTCAGTTGTGACCCTGGGCGGATTTACAAACAAGCAAGCGACCGTTTTGTTTTCAGATCGGTGATTGGAGTGAGACATCAGGCTATATTGGACTGGACTTCCTGGACCGACCCAGGAGAGGTTAGATTTTTCTCATAGCTGTTCTGAACTTGCTCTGTCGGGGGAGAGGAGGCCAAAGTGAACTCTTCATATGTGTTTCATAAGCCTCTGAGGACCTCATTTTGCAGGTGTGATGTTAAATACGCAGTGTGGACGCCGCAGGAAGTGACCAGATGTAAGCTCATGTAACCCAAATCCCCGGTGGTGACCGGTGCCGGGCAGCCGACAAATGCCAGTCATTTAATCACGTCAAATTAATGGGGCACACGTGCCTGACTCTCGGCACAGCGCTGAATGCTTTCATGCTGTGTACCTCATAAAGGCATTTTCTTACCAAACAAGCACAAACTTCAAAGTATTTAAATGAGATTTTACACGTATTATTAAGCATAAGAATGTATTCACTCCAACAGTAGGTAACATAGCAAGTATGAAGAAAAAGTGTTTTAGGTCAGATGAGACCAAAAGGGCAACTTTTGGCCAAAACAGTCAAAATGCTGATTTATATTGATCATCATAATAAACACACTGTCTCCCCTGTGAAAGCTGGTGGTGGCAGAATGATGCTGTGGGATGTTTCACTTGAGCCGGAACAGAGAGGATGATCAGAGTTGATGGAAAGATGGACAGAGATGAATTCAGGTCAGTCCTGGAAGAAAACCTGATGGAAGGAGCAAAACCTGAGATTAGGGCAGAGATTTACCGTCCAGCCCGAGCAACAACGGATCGGTTTAGATCCAAACATGACCATGTGTTAAAAAGACCTAGTCAAAGTTTAGACGTGAATTTGTGGCAAGACTTAAAGCTGGGGTAAGTGACCTTTCTTGAAAAGAAATACGTCTTTCAAATATTTGACAGTTTAATATGAGACAGATAATTTGTAAAAAACCCTAACCCTATTTCTTCTTTCTTCTCCCATTACTCCTAATGTGAACTACAGAAACACACAGGGTCTTAGTGCTATCAATCATGCATGTGCATGCGCTGCTCACACTCTCCGTTTTTCTACCTGCTGTGCTACAGCTTCTCACCAGCAGAGCCTGGCAAGAATGCTAAGGCTAGTTAGCATGGCCCCGCATGGCGGAAGGTAAATGGAATGGTTGTTTCTCCACAATTAGCACACTGAGCAGCGCATATTGATTGACAGCAGTGAGACCTTCCTCCTGGTGCTGATTGGGTGTTTTCGTCAAGAGCGGTGCATTTCTCCAAACGGCAATAGTGGCACTGGAGGGAGGTGGAGGAGCTTGATCGCGACATGGTGACAGTTTTGACAAATATGCAAAAACCTTTTTTAAAACCTGAAGTTCACTGATCCTCTCCATCCAATCCAACTGAGCTTGAGCTATGTCGCAAAAAAGAATGGGTAAAATTATTCAGGGTTATGTGGAGTTTGCAGAGACATAAGCAGGAGCAGCAGCAGGTCATTCAAAAAAGTACCAACTCAAAAAAAGAAAAAACAACTAAGTGACATTCTGGTTCCACTTCACAAGCACGCACTACTTTGTTCGGCCTGTCACACCAAATCCAATAAAATTCATCGATGGTTGTGACTGTAATGCAGCAAAATGTGGGAAAAGTTCAAAGAGTAGGAGTATTTTATTATTATTTTTTTTTTAATGGCATCCCAGAAACTGGGAAGTGGAAGCGAGGTCGCAAAGTGGGGTTGCCAAGATCTCAGCGATACCGTCAACATTCAGTCAACCTGGGCCGCAATTATGCAGCTGTTGTCATCGTTCTTTTGTCAGCTGATTTAAACTGGGCAGCAGCAGCAGCATGACATTTAGAGACACAGGCTTGTTAACTGTGATGTCATCGGCTCAAATCCTCTTGGCTGCCTGAGAATGTGAATGGAAACCATAACACTTCCCAGTTTCATCATCTACAGTGCTCCTAATTCCCATCTATTACAGCCTAGCTGGTCTGTGGACGGCGTGTTTGTTGTGAAAGCAGCTGCTCGGTGTGCGATAAGGCAAAGGCATCAAAGGGACGGTTGTCAGGGCTTGAAAACCCTTGTTTTGTAATGTTGTCACAATCGGCCTTGGTGACACATAAAGCAAAGAGCCAATTCAGTAAAAATGTATCTCTGTATTGAGACCACTTTTATAGATTTTACTGGCCTTGGTCACTTTTTTTTTTTTTTTTTTACAAAAGTTTAAACCAGCCAATATAGCTTTTACACACACTTGTAATATTTTCCTGTCACTTTCAACACTGGATGGAAAACAAACTAAATAAGGTCGAGAGCTTTTGTTTTATTTTCTTTTTAAATTTTCTTTATAACTTTCCGGTTTGTGGCTGCCAGTCAGAAAAGCCAAGAAATAAAAGCTTCAGATCCTGCAACTTAATCCCAAACACCATCCAGATATTTCTGCAACGATGGCGTTTCCTCACCAGTAATGCGGGGGGAAAACTTTTCACATAAAATATCTGGGAAAAGGTCCGGCATGGCAGAAATCCTTTGCCATCACATAATAACTTTAACGGCTTTCCTTGTGTTTTAGCTACATGTGATAAATGCCAAATGAAATGGAAACACAATGGCTCTTTCAGTTCAAACCGAGCAAAGAGTAACACAATCTAGAAGTCATGACCCACGTCTGAATTACATGCAGCTGGATTGACAATATACTTAGGTGGGCTGTCCACAAACATTAAAGGCCAAAAATCTTTGGCGATTTGACATTTTGATACTTCACAAACTTCGGTTTTCATTTCTTGCGACCTCAAATTGTAATTTTTTTCCTCTGCTGTAGTCGTTTCTTGTTTTGTTTTTTTTTTTAATTGGTTTAATATTTCTCTAAATTCCCTTTAGAAATCTGAATCCTGCAATTTGATCCTGACACTGACAGGACGCTGGTGTAATGTCGGCTTTTTACATTCATTACTGCATGAAGACGTGCGCAGCTCTCTGTGCACACACACTGAATCACAGCAAAATCAAATGCAGGTGACTTGGGCTCCACTCGTGTTTGACCTCAAAATTATTCAAACCCCCTGACATTTTCAGATGTGCTTTAATTCTCATTCGACCAGTAAGTTTGCATTTGATGGGAACTGAGGCAGGCAGCTCTTCAAAGACAATAACACAATATAAACAAGTATCAAATTCAAACTTTAATTAGCTTTTAATTACACTTTTAGTAATTCATCAGCATTACAGCAATCAATCAATCTCTTCTTATAATTGCTGACCAGTTTCTTGCATGTTTCCAGGTATTATAATGATTTATCTTTGGTTATAAACTCTTAGTCTTTGCAGCTGGAAGGTCTCTTTCCATCACCCTAATCTTTAGTTTCCTCTGTGAATTCTCTGTCAGATTCAAGTCAGGATGTTGACATTACTTCAAGTCAGAAGAGAATATATATATATATATATATATATATATATATATATATATATCCAAAAAAATAAATAAATCAACAGAAAATACAATAAACTTTATCTTGATACAACTAAATGATCTATGGAGTATCTTGAAAATCATATAACCTAGATATCCACTTTCAGCTCTTTTCAAGTCGAATTGTATAAAATTCAATTGATTTCAATTTCATAAAGTGCAGTTTAGTGCAATTATAATAATCTTACTTTACCTCATTTTGACTTACCAAGGTTGCAGATACAGCTCCACTGCCATAACTGAAAAGAAAACCTACAATCAATTAATTTGAGAGTGGGAAATATAGACAATATGTCAAAATGTGTCATCTCATGTACTGTGCCGTGCAAACAGCACACCTTTCCGTGCAAAGCTAACTGTAAATAAGTACAGTTAAGACTGAGGGGATTAAAGGATTTTCACATCAGTTTATCAGACTGGTGATAATTTGACTATGCTAAGAAAAAGCTTATAATTTCATGTCATTCTTGAAGTATATAATATTCCAGGCATCCTATGCAGCTCTAGATCATTTAAACTAAATATCTGATGTGGATTTTTCACTTTGCAGCAACCAACACACAGGCACACAACCTTTCATGGCAACCAAAGCTGGCTTTAAATTAAAAGACATTTTTGTCCCCAAACCGTTAGCCATGAGAAAAATTCTCAATTCTCAAAAGTAAATAACACAAATCACATAGGAGCTTTTTTTTTTTTTTTTGCAGCCAGTTCACAGACTGTTGAGAACTCACCATGTTTGAGTTTGAAGGCATGGGCAATAAAACGCTGCATTGAAAATAAGCTGAGCTGTAACTCCCTCCTGTGGCGAGACAGTTCACAGGGAGACGGACGGGTGACACGAGGGGTCGGAGGTTGGGGAACTACCCTGGGTGGCATGGTTTGGCTTTCCTTTTGCGAAGCTGTCTCTTGGGAAGAATGAGTCGAGCAAAAGAATAGACAAGGAGATTGAAACATGTGTGCGTCCATCTTTAAATGATCCCAGTGCGACTTCAAACTTTCCCCGACGTTTTTGCTGCTGAACATGCATTCTGGAAACGAGCTGCTGGGAAATCTGCCGACACACATGGAGAGTTATGGTCGACCTTCTCCAAATGTGCATGTCGAGTCCCAAGAACCATTCACATATAAATGGTTTTTAGTCTGGTGATTTCAAAATCAAATCCAAATGATTAAAATTACATCCCAATTACACTGTCAAAGTAATTGACAGTGTAATTGTGTTCACTTTTAAGCAATAAATACAATACTGAGCAATCAAAAACACGGCAAAAAAATTATAATGAAGCATTATCTCAGGCATGAAAGACTAAATTAATTTTAACATTTTAAACAACATAAAAATCTTAACTTCTAAAGGGTAAAAGTAAATACAATTAAGCATTACAACAGGCTTCATCAACAGCCATTGCAGTTGAAGGTACAAGTTGAATGAAGAAATGTAAATATATGACTAAACTACGTGTCCTGTGAACATTTTACTCCCAGTTTGGTGGAACGGACTTTGGATTCCCAGTCTCCCAGGAGGAATTGGGACAGTTTTCAGCGTTGCCGTATATGGAAGCTTACATTCTGGAAGCAGGAGTCCTGCATCTGGCCAGAAGGATCTGGAATGACCTGCGTGCGGAAGACGACCTTCCAGATGAAGGTGAAGACAAAAGGCAGTGTGGAACTCTGGGTCCTGGTCACAGAGTGGTCATCCCAAGCTGCTGTGTTTGGGCAATTCAAGGTTGCTGTCCTGATCCGGATGGACAATACAGGCAGGATTTCCCTCAGTGTATTATAAGCCTGGTGGGCCACCAGGCTTTACTTGTGCCCCCACCTGGTTTAGCATTGTTAATTTATTAGTTCTTTTTAATGATTGCCTTTTTTTAAAGACTTTATAGTTGGTGTTTAAGTATTAATCTTCCAGTCTTTCAAAAGTGCTTAACTATAAAATTATATTTATTGCAAAGTGCTCCTGTAGATATATGAACATTTTGAGTTCTGAAGACATGATTCCTTCCTCTGTTTGCTGCAAAGTCTGACCTGTTGAAAGAGCATAAATAATTAGATGTGTCACATGTTTTGATTCACAATTTAATAAATCCTGAGAAGGAGGAAATGCTTAAAATAGTCATGATCAAAAACAGAATTCTGTCCTGCCAAATGAGGCCTACTGTTTTTTTGTTTTGTTTTTGTTTTTTTTAATTACAATCAATTTCAAGTTTTCATTGGGAAGGCAACAAGCAGCAGTGATGGTTCGACACAAACATTAACTTCTCACCCTGGCCTCTGCTGACTGGTGTCACCAGCAGCTCCTGTGTGGTGGGAGCCGGCACACCGGGCAGCACATCATGCTGACCTGGGTCATTTGGTCTCATGGTTGAAACTCGAGGGAGTCCGCGTCCTGATGCCACCAGTTTCCTTATAAGTGGCCTCTGAAGTTGTGGAATGTAATGGAAGTCCTTCTCCTCCTTTATGGCATACAAACTCCTACTATAAAGCTTGTGATGTCTGAAAGTGGATATTAAGCACATGACACAGATCAAAATACTAATATTCCATAGAATAGTGTTATATAGGAGACATACCTAAAGCGCCAGAACTTGTGAAGCTCTTTTAGCCAGCGTTCATTGAGAATGACTTCTGATAAATCTGATGGGAACCTTATCCCTTCTCTGTTCACTCCTTGTCTCTGTGCTCCTCCAAGGGACCACGCTGACAGGCATCCAGGGGCCACTCATGCTCTCCTGTGACATGGTGTAGAAGGCCTTGCCACATGTCCTAAATCAGAAAATGAACATAACAGTTTGAAATTACCTTTATCTTTTTTAAATGCAGATTTTTACAGTGACTGCATCTTTTCCCCAGTGTTTCCCACAATGCGTGTACAATGTAAATTAATTGCACATTTACCAATGCATTGTATATATTACAATGCACTTGACATGTAATATGTCACCTTATTACATGTCAAATGCATTGTTGAACAATATCACATTCTAAACAAACTTGCTGTATACACGCTATGTGTCAACACCTCAGTGCTTAATGTTAGCAATGATAAATACATATTGTATTTTTGGATAATTCTATGACTCACAAAAAAAGTCGTCACAGTTCTTGCAGCAGAATCAAAAATGATTGCAGATCTCCTTGTTCCACTGCAGAAGAATGGAACAACCTCTTTGCTACCTTGCCTTAATAAACACAAATCATTATGTAATGAATTAACATATTGGATAAAAATGTACAATTTTGACACTTATTATGTATTCATGTTATGATCCAAAAACTTACTGAATGGATCTTTTTGCCCAGGTTGTTAGAACCATGCCACATGTCTAAAGTGTGTAGCACTTCACTGTCCTTGTATTTTCCATTGACTGCCACAGAAATGTTATTGGAGATACGTTGTCAGATAAAATCATGAGGTCAAGCAAACATTTACTGTTATTAATAGGACTACATTGCACTTACTGAACAGAGCAGATATGTGTGAATGTGCATCTGTGCACACTTCAGCAAGTTTAACCTCCGGGTGGAGCTGGTCAAAGCTTCTGGTAAAGCGATAAAGCCTTCCCAGAACTCCTCTGAGTCTCACACTTGTCAATGTTTCCTATTGATACGATTTATTTAGTGTCCTTTTCCATGACGGTGTAGATACAGGACTGAGCACAAAACCCAGGGCTGGGTTCATTCACCCCTCAGCTACGAAAAATAGCAGATGCAAAAGAAACAAAGAATTCTTATCAACATGGGGTCACTGTTTTAGGCAGAGATGTATGTCTAGGGTGACATAACTGAGTATTATACTCACCAAGTACTACAACATTATCCTGAAACTACTTCAGCTCTGTAGGAGCTGAAAGCAACCAGCTGTTTGTAAGATGCTGACCTGTCTGTCAACTGACTGATGTAGTTCATTCAACATCGCTGCACTGGACGTCTATGGTAAAGAACAATAACCAGACTTGTGGTTGTCCCAAAAGTCTTTGATAGTGTCAACACAGTAACTGTCTTGCATTTTGACGAAGGTTGACCGATCCACTGCTCCCATATTCATAAACCTGAGCAGCAGTGCAACTCGGGCATCGTTGTTGCCAGACAGAATTATGTTATTATGCTATTATGAATTACGCCAAAGAAAGTCCCCAGCTTGCATTCCATACTTGAAAGGAGACTGGGAATTCGCTTGCCACACACAGCTATTGTTCGAACAAATCTGGAAAACACATTCATATACAAATGTAGCATTACATTTTAACTACTACAATGTTCAGAGGAGTAAAGTGACATACCTATTGCATGATGAGCGTTGTTCCTCTGGATTTGGTCTAGATCTGGAACGGTCGACATTCCACAAACGTCTGTGGGTCTTCAGCCGTTCACATTGGGATTGGCAACAACAGATATTCTGCACGTTCTTTCAAACAAGCAAGATAAGTGATGCCATCTTCACTCTGGACTTTAGTTATTTCTGGCAAAGTGTGGGATTATGTTGTCTCTGTCTCTAAAGCTTCTGATGTCAGCTTTTCCACACTTGTGCACATAAGGGGCCTGAACACGGAAGCATGTGGCTCCAAACCATAAACAAAATCCAGGGTTGAAAGGCCAACCTTGAATCTACAAAACATTTAGAACAAACATAACCTTAATGATGCTAAAAACAGCATGATCTTAAATGGATGGTTTTCACAGTCAAATGTAAACATTAACGTGTCTAATCTTGTTTTTTGTTTAACAGAGGTATTACTGCAAATCCACTATTTCTTTGCGGTAATGTAGATTTTCTCCAGTTATCGAGAAGCATTTAAATCAAGTTCTTACTTATTAGGCTGCTGGCTATTTTCAATTCTTACCCTACATTCACTTGTTTTAGCTGCAACAACATAGTAGCTAAATTAACTTAGTTAATTGTTTTAAATAAAGACGAGAAACATTACCTTTGAATAGAGAAATGATTGCGGTAAATTAATGTTTGAAGTCCTTCACAATCTTCTCTTTGTCATCGACACTCACAGGAAGCTGAAAGCATCCAGCAGTTTGTAAGATGCTGGCCTGTCTGTCAACCAACCGACTGATGTAGTTTATTCAATGTAGCTGCACTGGATACCTATGGTAGAGAACAATAACCAAAGACATAAATAAATATACTACTGCAGTCCCAATTTACACCACCAGCATGGTTTGGTAATTATTGCACACTACGCAAAGTTTGATAGATAAAATTATCGAACAACCAGAAGTTATGGTGGAAACATTTTTTTTTGTTTCAATGACGGTATTAGTAAGTTCAGTTTGGAAATGTAAAAAAGATCCTTTAGTTTCACTTCTGCTGTGCCGTTTCACCTGTTTGCTGTGAGTTTTGCTCCTGTCGACCACCGTTATCTGATCAAGTCATCGTCGCGTCCTCACCTCTCCACAATCTGCTACAACCAGTAGATCAGCAGATGGAGGAAGTAACCTGCTTTAGGGGTTGGTCAACTCAAATCATGTGACATGAGTTCATGGAGAAAGGAAACGCAGAGAAAAGACAACAGGGTCAAAAAAATATAAAAATATTTATCGCCGTCTTTTCCTTTTATCCTTATAGGTTTTATGTTGAGCTCAGCAGGGTTGTTTTAATTCCTCTACATTTTAGTTTGTCCACCATGATGTTATCTCAGCCATCTCACAACTTTAAAGATTTAATTTGTCCGCAAAAGTATTGTACTCTATATTTAAAGAGTTGAATTTGTCTCGAAAAGCGTTGTCTCTTCTCAGTGCTTAGAGATTGTAGATTCGACACCCAGCAGCATTACCTACTTTTAAAAGTATTATCACCTGAGCCTAACATTTCTGAGGTTTCATTCCTCAGAAATTTGAATTTGCCTCCTCCAGCATTGGGTCATTGTTTGATTAAACAGAAAAAAAAGACTTTATTGCCTTTTTAATCAGAATCTTTAAAATGTAAAATACAAAATCCAGCAGGATAAAGAAAAGCCCCTTTGCAAGACGCTACCTAGGGCATCCTCGGTCCTCCCAGAATCCTTAACATCTAAAGTGAAAAATCTAGCAGCGGGATAAAGAAAAGCCCCAGTGCAAGACGCTACCTAAGGCATCCTCAGACCTGCTAAAATCCTTAATATCTAAAATACACAATCTAGCAGCGGGATAAAGAAAAGCCCCAGTGCAAGGCGCTACCTAAGGCATCCTCAGGCCTGCTAGAAAGCTTTTGTCTTTAAAAAATAAATAAATAAATAAAACAGAGAAATGATAATGTTCTAATGTGACTTCCCAGGTAGGTCTTCAGTTTTTCAAGATCCCAATCTAATCAGAGTCACTTGACAAGTGGTAGTGAGGTCTAAACCACAATTGTCTGAAACTCTCTCTAGTTCCGTCAGATGTTGAAGCAATTGATTCCTCTTCTATGTCCTCTTCAGAGTCCATCCAGAAACAGAAGGCAGGGGATGACAAAGTTGAATCTTTGCACTGTATTGATGGTAAGGGACTGAGGACAGGGAATGACAGAATGGGATCATCCCATGAAATCTCAAGTGAAGGACTGAAGACACAGGGTGACAAAATGGGATCCTCCCAGTATGTCAAGGGTGAGGGACTGAAGACAACGGATGACATAAAAGGATCGTCGCGCACCATCCCTCGTGAGGGACTAAAAAATGGAGATGACAGAAAAGGACCCTCACGCACCATCCCTCGTGAGGGACTGAAGACAGGGGATAACAGAACAGGATCCTCATGCGCCATTTTACATGAGGGACTGAAGACAGGGGATGAGAGAACAGGATCCTCATGGTCTGTCTTTTGGTAGGCAATGAACACAGGGATTGGCAGAATGGGCTCATCCTCCCATTCTTTACGACATCTCCATGCCAACCTTGTGCCGATACTTTGAAGGACCTCCTCCAAACTGGGCTTCATGGCAGGGACCTCCTCTTCATCACTGCTGTCCCTGGACCTCTTGGCAGGGGGCTCCTCTTCAGCATCATTGTTTATGCTGATCACAGATGTCACATGAGCCGCATCCTCTTCCCAACCTACCTGGTAATGTTGGGAGGTCCCAATAGGTTTTGAGTCCTCTGGACTCAAAATGGGCTCTTTCTGCTTGTTAAGTCCACGTGTGGATTCAAGCGAAGTCAAGAGAAAAATATCCTCTTGAAGCTTCTGAGCCATCTCGATGTCCTGTATGTATTTAAAAATTGGAGGAAGAACCTCAAGCAGTTGTGGTGCAGTGTAAGCACGGTCCACTGTCGGACTGGAGCTGGTAGTACAGCCATTATTAACTTCTTCTTCACTGGAGCTGCTAGTAGAGCTACCACCGGAGTTGCTAGTAGAGCTGCCACTGGAGCTGCTAATACTGTCATTACCAACCTCACCTTCACTGGAGCTGGTAGAACTGTCGACAGAGTCTGGAAGTGACCTACAGCTTGACACCTCTCCCTTGTGTTCAGAAACTGATGGGCAGTAAAATGTGAAGGGTTAGTGAAATGTCGTCTGACATCTGTGGGAAAACATCTGACCACCTTACCGAGATTCTTACCATTGTCCGGGTGTCCCTCCAACATTAGGGATCCATCTGGAGGAAGCACTAAAGCATGAGCTATGAAGGAAAAAAAAAACTAAATACTACCGTTCAGTATCAAGACCTTCACAAAAATTCAAAAAAATGTTTAGAGAGAAAACTGAAATACCAATACATTAACCCAAGTTGGAGAATGTCTTCGTTTTTCTTGACTAGATTTAATTAACGATATTATTGCTATACTATACTGATGGGGGTCCACAGTGACATCGATGGAGTCCTTGATGTGATACATGAGTAGCCTCTCGAAGCAATTCATGACTACCAATGTTAAGGCTATAGGCTGGTAGTCATTCAGGCTCGTCACTGTGGAGCACTTGGGGACAGGGACAATAGTGGTGGTCTTTAGACAGGTGGGCACAGATGACAGTGACAGTGACGTGCTGAAGATAAATTAATCACAACTGGACTAACTGAAACCGAGATCATTGTTTTTCTAATTAATTTTAACATTTACTGTTAGCATTCGATTAACTTCTGAAAATGATACGTCACTAAAATGCAATAGAGCATGGTCTTGAGTAACTAAATAAACTAAATAATTTAGTGACTTTGTTAAATGAATAGAATAGGCACACATTGATTGTTCTTTACAGATAAGAATAAAGTTGTGTGTTATTTAATCAATGTATCCATGGAGATACTGCATTTTTCAAACAGCTGGTTCCAAAACTTCTTTCAAACCAAAACAACTGCAGTCAGCATTACTGATTTTAACTAATTTAAGTAATATTTTTTTTCTTTTCAAATTAGTTCACTTATGTAGGAAAACTACATGTAGGGCATTTTTCAAAACTGATTTGAAAAATGATCTAGTTTGCAAGAAATTGGACAGAAATTTAGCTGTGTTTTCAAACCAGCATAAGAATTTTTGTCAAACACTAGTATTAACATCGCAGACATTTATCCACAGATTCCAATAAGATAACGCATAAATTCCAAATCCATTTAAATTACAAATTTGTTTCACTCCACAAATGAATGTTCTTTTTAAAAATAATAGTAAATATTTAATGTGTTTCATTTAGTGTATCCACAGAAACAGTGTTTATCAGGGCATTTTTCAAAAACACCGGTCAAAAACAAGCTAGTTTTCCAAAAATTTTACATTAATTCAATTAATTTGATATCTATTAACTAAAATACTTATATTTCTTAAATCACTACACGCTGACATTTACGAAATTTAGCCGAGAAAAAGGCTCATTAGCAAGAAGGATCTATGCTAGCAAAACATGCTAATAGTCTTTCTTTTTTTTTGTACAGCAGTCGGAATTTCTTTAACACACACAGACACAAAATAAACTAAACAATTCACTAATATGTTGGTAAAAACTTGCTTTCGTGTATTAAAAATAGTAGAAGAATTATATTAACCTTCCGGCTGATCGCCCCGCTGGTGCTTCTCCTGGCCAGGAACCATCCTTTGCAGGTTTGTTTACCACGGGCTTCTTCAACAAGTGCTTCTTCAGCAAGTTTTGCAAAGCAGACTTTCTCAGCAAGGTCAAACCTTCCGAAGCTTTCTATGCTCTTTTAGGCGTCTCCTACAAAAGTCCAGTCGCAAAGGGAAAGAATTTCGAAGGTCAGGACCATTTATAGGGCTGCGAACGCTAACGTCGTTTCCATGACTTTCATTGACGACAGGACGCGTGCGTTCGTCAATTCCACGGATTAACGTCGTTTCCATCATGACTTTCATTGACGAACGCACTTGTTCATGGAAACGTCATGGAAACGACGGTAGCGTTGGCAACCATATAAATGGTCCTGACCTTAAAATGTTTCCCTTTGCGACTGGACTTTTGAGGGAGACGCGTGAAAGAGCATAGAAAGCTTCGGAAGGTTTGAACTTGCTGAGAAAGTCTGCTTTGTAAAACTCGCTGAAGAAGCCCGTGGTAAACAAACCTGCGACAGATGATTCCTGGCCAGGAGAAGCACCAGCGTAATGATCAGCCGGAAGGTTAATATCATTCTTCTACTGTTTTTAATAAACGAAAGCAAGTATTACTACGATATTAGTGAATTGCTTAGTTTATTTTGTGTTTATGTGTGTGTTTTAAAGAAATTCCGACTGCTGTACAAAAAAAGACTATTAGCATAGATTCTTATTTAATGAGCCTTTATCTTGACTAAAGTTCGCTGTAAATGTCAGGAATGTTAAACTGTGGTGTAGCAATTTTAGAAATAGATGTATTTTAGTTATTGATTATAAAATTAGTTGAATTAATGTCAAATTTTTGGAAACGTAGGTTGTTTTTGACTGTTATTTTTTTGAAAAATGTCCTGATAAACACTTGGTTTCCATGGATACGGTAAAAAATAAATAAAAAATTAAAAAAACAACTAATAAATTAACAATGCTAAACCAGGTGGGGGCACAAGTAAAGCCTGGTGGCCCACCAGGCTTATAATACACTGAGGGAAATCCTGCCTGTATTGTCCATCTGGATCAGGACAGCAACCTTGAATTGCCCAAACACAGCAGCTTGGGATGACCACTCTGTGACCAGGACCCAGAGTTCCACACTGCCTTTTGTCTTCACCTTCATCTGGAAGGTCGTCTTCCGCACGCAGGTCATTCCAGATCCTTCTGGCCAGATGCAGGACTCCTGCTTCCAGAATGTAAGCTTCCATATACGGCAACGCTGAAATGCAACGAGGTGGATGTTGCATGCAGTGCTTCCTCTCCACCACAGAAGTCATCATCTCTCTGCATCTCTGACAGACACACCAGGACAGTTAGCTGGGGACAGGAAGTGGTGTTGGAGGAGCAGAATGGCTGAGTATCTGAAAAATCAGGCCTGAATAACATTCCAAACATTGCTCCAACACTTGCTGCATCTGCTGCAAATTCAATTGCTCAATCTGCTCCTAGTGATAGATAAAAATAATTGTTGAAGCTTAATGCACTACACAAAAAAAATTTAAATATAGTCTATGCCCAGATTTTGACCGTAGAAAGGGCAAAACATGGCCACCTAAAAAAAAGGTATGCACACACTCACAGTTGAAACCAGATATTTACACACGCCAAGTAAAAAGA